ATTCGGGCTGCAAGACATGGGAGAGTTCCCATGTGTGGAAGATGTTGAACCATACTGCAAGCAGTGTTCCCTCTAAGCTGAGCTAGTGCGAGCTAGCTCACAGTTTTTTAGCCTCCAGCTCACACATTTTTGCCTTAGCTCAGAAAGGATGGCTCCTGGGCAAACTAATTTATGCAGCAGCCAAATCACTCACTCACAACTTTAATGCCAGTAGCTCACAAAGTAGAATTTTTGCTCACGAGACTCCAACTACCCGAAGGAGTCTTGACTGCAAGATGCATCCAGTGTGGCTCCAAGGCACTGTTGTAGCACTGCTGGTCTGACCAGACGTTAATGCAGCCAAGGCTGGAAGAGGTACAGTGCCACCGTAGCCAATGGGCAGATGTCCAGGCATTCTCTAGAGAGGTATCTAAAGATTGCTGACTGGAAGCGAGAGTGGATGGCTTCCAGCAAGAAACTGTAGCATCGACAGGGGAAATTGTACAGAGCGCAAACCCAGGGAAGCAGTGGATATCGAAGCAACTGCTCCAAAAACCTGAGTAAAATATTTATTGATGGATCTGGGAGATGGCAGCAGGCTCCACTGGCAGAGAATAACATATACCTGAAGCAGGCAAGGCCTTTGCCATGCACGTGGGGAAAATGGGACACGAATAGGAATTAACGTGGCATCACAGAATGTGATTCTGTCCTTCTTGTCTATATCAATACATATATCAATGTGGAATTGGAGAGCAGGGAAGACTATGAAATGTTCTTGACCGCAAAGATTAGGGCGTCCAAGGCCGATGTGACAACCCCATCCATACAGGGAGCGTCCTCGCCCTAATTCGGGAACGACTGAGGTCCCTTGCATCGTGCCAAAACTGGTGGAATGTGTTCATAGGACCAGAGAAGGATGGCCTACAGTGAGAGCCACTCTGAACATAGGGAAACACACCATTTTACATATGGTGTCAGACTTCCCCATTCTGGATGGTTCCCATAGCAGCGGCAGCATAAGGGGCAAGCAAGAGCCCCAGAACAGCATTCTATCTAGGAGCCAATGAGGAAGCACAGCAGCAGGATCTTCCCCAAGGCACACCATAGGCTGCTCAGGAGGACTGACTTGGAGTCTGGGGGCTGGCCACAGAAAAGCACATAAAGAGTTTCCCAAATTGAAAAGGGCCCAGGTCTATTATGTCACCAAAGAAGGCCTGATGCAAGAGGAGCTTTGACAACTAGTATTCCAGAAGAAGAAGAAAAAGGGATTGGATTGATACCCCACCCTTCACTACCCGAAGGAGTCTCCGAGCGGCTTACAAAACTCCTTTCCCTTCCCCTCCCCACAACAGACACCCTGTGAGGTAGGTGGGGCTGAGAGAGCTGACAGAAACGGCTCTTTTTCAAGAACAGCTCTTATCAGAACTATGGCTTGCCCAAGGTCATCCAGCCAGGTGCAAGCGGAGGAGTGGGGAATCAAACCCGGTTCTCCCAGATTAGAGTCTGCGCACTTAACCACTACACCAAACTGGCAGCATCAGTCAGGGGTCTTGCAGGCAATCCGTGATTGGCCCTGGAGAGGGCCTTTAGGTCCACCTAAGAGGATGGCATGAAAGAAAACTGGTCTGCCTTCTGGCCCACCAAAGGAAACAACGTGAGCGCTCGATGCCAGAAAGTGGCCAAAGTGGGGTCTCCTTGGGTCCTCTCACAGCCATTTTCTACCATTCTAGATCCAGCCTAAGGGCCATGGTGGCTCAGAGGTTAAGACGCTGAACTGCAGACTGGAAGGTCTGTAGTTCGGCAGTTCGAGACCTGAGTGCCGTGCAACGGAGTGAGCTCCCGTCTCTGGCCCCAGCTCCTGCCAACCTAGCAGTTCAAAAGCGAGAAATTGCAGATAGAGAAATAGGTACCGCTTTGGTGGGAAGGTAACAGCGTTCCGTGCGCCCCGGCGTCTAGTTATGCCGGCCGCATGACCACGGAGAAGTCTTCGGACAGCACTGGCGCTTCAGCTGGGAAACGGAGATGAGCACCGCCCCCTCGAGTCAGATGCGACTGGCTTCCGAGCAAGGGAAACCTTTACCTTTTACTTTTTAATGGTCGTTCGAGCACTTCTGTCCCCAAACAGGGTCAGGTGGCTGCCAGAATCTCACCCTAGAAGCAACGATGCAGAGAATTTCAAAAGGCAGCTCTGCGGTCCGAAACTTCATCACCGTGGTGCCTCAGATGGCGTCAAGCCACGTTGAGTCATGGGTGGCCTGATGTAGACTCTGAGAGGTCTCAGCTCCCCTTCCTGAGTCCTTTCTAGTGACTCACCCTCCTCTTCCGGGAATTCTACTGCAGACTCCGGGCCCAGAGAGCAAGCCAGCTGAGGGCCCTGGCTCACGGTTGGAGTCTAAAGGGCCACTTGCAGAAGGGTCTAGGGAGGAGGGTCATGGTAATTCCTAGGATACAGCCAAAGCTGATAATTCCAGATGGCTATCTTACATCGAAGCCAAAATAACTTCCCTGAATTTGTCCCTAGAATCCTGATATATGCTTTCTGAGTCTGAGGCCTTTTTAAAAATAAAATCTAGATTATTGGGATCAGAGCTACAAACTCTTTATAGCCTGGCTAACAGAACCTGTTCTCCCTTACATCTGGGGATTATTCCTAATGCAAATCTTCCAGCAGTATACCTCTATCAACTCATAGCTCCAAATTTGCATAGAGCCATATCCTTGGCTAGATTTAATGTTCTTCCTTCAGCTATTTTGTCTGGCAGATTCCAAGGGATTCCCTATCCTAGCAGGTGCTGTCCTTGTAGGAAGGATTGTGTTGAAACTGTTGCCCATGTTCCCTTCCAGTGCCCTCTCTATTTGGCGTCCTGTCGGGATCTTCAATATCCCATATTGGGCCATTTTTTAGAGTCCCCTGATGATTTTAAGCTTCTTTTCTTGCTCGATATCACAGACACAGAAATAACTGAAATAACAGCAAAGTTTCTCTGCAGTGCCATGGCCCTACGGCCTGATAAATGATATGATGAATTAGGTTTTTCTTTATGATGATACTCTGTGATGTTAATCGGCAATTTTAATTTGACTCTGTGTGTACTTAGATTACTGTATTTTTATTTATATGCCAATAAAAGGCTTTGATTGATTGATTGGATACAGCAAAGATGAGGAACAAGGGTACGACGGTTAGCATTTATACCACGCACTTTCCCTAAGTGCACTAAGCGCTTCGTCTCAGTAATCCTTAGCAAGGGGTCCAGCTGGGATGCTCGTCTTGAATGGCTAATGTAGACCACATGGGCTGCCCTTTAAAGGTAACTGTAAAGCGACTTTAGCCCTCTTAAGCTAGTCCTAAGGATATAATTATTCCATTGAATAAATGCTTCTCACCCTGCAACACTCTGGGGGATAGTTTCTAAGAGCACTGTTCTTTCCCAAAGACAACCCACAGCTCTCTGCACAATTTTGTTTTATTTCATCTCCCATGATTACTACCAGTGTTCCCTCTAAGCTGAGTTAGTGTGAGCTAGCGTGCAGTTTTTTAGCCTCCGGCTCACACATTTTTGCCTTCGCTCAGGAAGGAGGTCTCCAAAGCAAACTAATTTATGCAGTAGCCAAATCACCTGCTCACAATTTTAATGCCGGTAGCTCAGAAAGTAGAATTTTTGCTCACAGACTCCACAGCTTAGAGGGAGCATTGATTACTACCCATGGGGGTGGGGGTGTTAGGGAAACCCTTCCCACCCCCCCACCACCTCCAATAAAATGGGCCCTTTCCTGGACTGCAGAATTTTTTCGTTAACATTTTATTCTCTCTGGCTCTTCCTCAAATACAGACTCCATCACACTTATTACTAATAAAGTTGCTGGGGAGAGGGGAGACACTCTGATTTGCTTTGCCTTTTGATGCCAAACTACACGGTTGCCCCACTCCAGGAAAAGAGATAAATGCATTTGTTCCTATTGCTGATTACTGGACAGAAGCCAACTTTGCAAGGTTGGGAGTTTGACGGCAATTTTCCACTTTATTGTTTTCTGAGCAAATGACAAAGCCTGAGAACTGAGCTACGTGGCCGTTGGCTGAATAACATCGCATGGTACTGCTGAATTGTCCCATCTCGGACTGAAGGTAGGGAGGGTTGCATTTTTGAATGCTTCCTCCAGAACTACCCTAAGCAAGGAAAGATAGCTCCTCAGGGACAGGGGGCACAGTTCTGTCTTTCCCTGGCCATGCTATCTATGTTCAGACCATTTTTTTGATGGAGAATTTTTGTAAGTATAAGGCAGCTTCACATTTTCTTACTTTACCTTCCGGATGTGGTGGGCTATGGTGAATTTGCACTGATTTGAACATTTATTTATACCCCACTTTTCTCTCTAGTTGGGACTCAGATCGGCTTAGAACATCATTCTGTCATCCTCCGTTTTCTCGCAACAACCCTGTGAGGTAGGCCAGGGTTTGCGACAGGCCCAAGGACACCCAGCAAGCTTCCATGGCAGAAGTGGGGATTCGAACCCAGGTATCCCAGACTCCTAGTCCGTCACTCTATCCACTATGCCATGCTGGCTCTCAACCAGAAATAAATGCTATCCGGGCAATATAAAATTACAGCTCCCAAACCCGAGCTAAATCCCTGCAATGTAACATCATGCAGCACGAGAGCTCAATTTCATTCCAGTGTGCGCGCTTCCCCTGCCCTGGTGCCCAAGCGACTACCACAGGCCCATGTGGTCCTCGTTAACAAGCCCGCACTCATGTGCCAGAAACATCGCCCTCTTGAGCAGCAGGCACCTGTCACCACTGAAACTGGACCATGTACTAAGTGGGAAACAAAGCCAGAAGCTTCTTCACTGAGCTTAGCTCGAGTTGCTGGCCATATCTTTCAAAATTCTCAGCTAAGATACTACATTAAGGGCCACTCCCTCTCCCCCAACATCTCTTTGAGTGGAACTGAATCCCTGCTGCGCGTTTGAAGACTCAGCCATCGTGGGGGGGGGATGGGGGACACACACACACTCACTGGGGGATGACGATGGGGGATTCTTGGAGAGAGGTGGCTCTGCCTTCACGTTGCTTGAGGGTTTTGTAGCAGTCCTGAGTTCTTCGTTGGCGCCCGTGGAAAAGTGGAACTGAATAGTTCCAGACTCAACTTGCTTCACCTGAAATTTAGAGGGAGAGAGAAGGAGCGGAGGGTGATGTGAATATCCTTCTTCCCATTGCTATGGGTATACAGCCATCAGGACTGGATGGGTGGAAAAAAACAGAAACAGGAAGGAGCCCAAGAAACTGAATTTTGCAACCAACACAGCATTGTGTCAGTTTTTTGCACTTGCATGGAATACTGAAATATACAGAGCCCGTTATCTGTTATATCCTGTTATCACCTTACAGCTTTGGCTTTTATGGTCTCTTTCAAAGCAAAATAAACAAATCTTCCTACATCCAATCACTGGCAGATATGTAACAAACATGGGCAACAGTGTTAAAGGACTTTTAACTTGGGACGTTTTATTCTCTTGTGAGACACACTGGCAGACATGTTTGCCAATGATGCATTTTGCCATCCTGGCCCCGTGATGTATTCTCTTTCTCCTGCAGAGAGACTGTGCACGTCACTCCTTGAACACAGAGCGGCCCTGTGACTCAGACCGCTCTGTCTATGGCTGTCTGTTGCATGGAGCTTTGGGCATTAATACCAATCCTTAATGCTCTAAGTTTAGCCTTCAGAAGTATCTTGGCATCCACACATGGACCAGCCTCTGGAATGAATTCCCGTGCTCAGCTGATCATACATAGCATTTTTCCCCTCAAGGGAGGGATTCTAGGTAGACCACATGTCCAGTCTTATAGTGGTAGACCCAAAATAAGCATGCATTTAAATCTTTTCATGATTTTCTTTACAGATTGATCCTATACAATTGCTCACAGCTGCTAGTGTATTTTTATTCTTGCCAACAAAGATTGTGTTGCCACTGCCCTATGCTACAGGAACTCCTTCAAGGGATTTTTCTTAATGTTTAAGCTTTGCCTTTCTCAGTGCACCTTGTCCTGGCAAGATTTTCTCTGTGCTCATTCCAACCCTATGATCCTTGCTTTTTTGCACAGGAAACTCTAAGAAAAGAAGAGACAACCTCAAACAGATTGCATTTCTTAATCCCCCCATCTTTGCTCGACCCATACCTGTTCACATGCTTGTTGGTGCCTTCTGGTTTTTCTTCAAGGTGCCAAACGCACACAGGATCTGAACCCGGCCACCTCTTTCTCTATGGAAGCTCGCTAGACCGCTCTCTACTGCACCTCAGCACCACCACTTAGGGTGGCCCAAGGAGGTATTGCATCTCCCAGATTGGCAGAGATCACATGGAGCCATCAGAGTTGCATCTCCCAGATTGGCAGAGATCGCATGGCCACCTCTTTCTCTATGGAAGCTCGCTAGACTGCTCTCTACTGCACTTCAGCACCACCACTTAGGGTGGCCCAGGGAGGTATTGCATCTCCCAGATTGGCAGAGATCGCATGGAGCCATCAGAGTTCTTCCTGGTCCTATAAAGCTTCTAAATTTGGCCCATCTTCTCAAACTGAGCAACGTTACTCAGGCACAGACCAAGCTAATCCCAGACTAACTTTCTTGGGTTACCTGCTGGACCGCCAGCCTTGTCAGGGTCTTCCCGAAAGATGCGGACTCACCTCTTCAGAGCTCATGGAAGCTGGTGGCGTCTTGTAGACCAAAACGTGGCTTGGATTATGCTGGGCTCCTCCTTGCAGAGGTAAGATCACTTTGGAGGAGCTCACATCCGGCGAGGGGTTCCAAACTGCCCAGCGAATGGAATGCATGTAAGACGGTGTGGTCAGAGAAGTCGCAGAGGATGCCTGTGGTTTAAAGAGGGAGGGGGCAGGAGATGGGGATCAAATTGCACTTTCAAGTTGCACTCGAAGGTGACCAAGAAACGTGATGCAGGACAGGGTTGTGTAAACCAAAAGGTCGAGATAGGCAGAGGTCAGCCAGATCCATTCTCCGTGCCTTTCACTAGGCTGTGGGACAAAATAAACAAATAAATTACCAGCCTAACATTTTCTTCTCACCTTGATACAGAGTACTCCATCTTTCTGTGCTATACCTCTGAGGATGCCAGTCACAGCTACTGGCAAAACATCGGGTCCTCCAATGCCAAGACCATAGCCATACAACCCGGAAAATCTGCAGTAGCTAATGAACTCCTCCAGAAAGGGAGGACAGAGGTGAACTGGCTTCAGTGTAAAGCCGCTGGTGGCTGGATATTAGGGTCATCAGTGACACCTGAACATTTCGGAGGCCTCCTGTCTAAAACCTGGAAGGTCCAACTTGCCAGACCTCAGCGGGCAAGGAGGGTCGGTCCTGGTTGGATAGGAGACCACTGAGGAAGTCCAGGGCTGTTGTGCAGAGGTAGGCAATGGCAAACCACCTGTGAACATCTCTTGCCTTGAAAGCCTTATGGGGTCACCGTAAGTCAGCTGCAGATTGACAGCACTTTACACACACAGCAGCTATCTAGGATTCTAGTGACTGGGAAGACTCTGTTTGGGAAGACGGGGTGGTTAGGCAGGCACCACCTGCTTTTCAGCTGCTCCCCCTTGAGTCCTGGAGGTATGCTGCTGCCTGCCTTGTCATTTGAGGAGTGTTTATTTGTGACTAGTTTATCCTTAGGATGGAGAAAATGCTTCCATCTTCTGCAGCCGCAGCCTGTTCCCTGAGCCCACTAGCTGGAGCTGTGTGTAATAAAAAGCAGAAATTATTCTATGGAACACAGGATTATTATTATTTTATTATTTATTAGATTTTTATCCCGCCCTCCCGCCGGAGCGGCTCCCCCAAATCTCCTTTTCTTTTGAGGAGCAAAATTTAGCCTTTATGGCTATAAATGTATGGTTAAAGCCAGTGGGCATTCAGAAGCCAGAAGACTTTTTAAAGAAGTTTCAGTAAGATTTCTAGTGTTTGGGGAGGGGGTGGAACGGTCATCGGTGCCCGGCACAGCTTCTGCTCCCACTCCAAGATAACAAAACCAGAATAAATTACGCAAATCAGCCATAACTGCAGAGCATTATGCATCTGATGATGTGGGGCTCTGGTCCGTGCAAGCTTGTCACAATATCTGGTGGTCTTTAAGGTTCCACAAGAGTCCCATTTGGCTTTTGCAAAACAAGAGATTATGTAGATTGGCTCAGTTTGTACAGAGTCTGGAATTTGGCTTCTCCTGGCATGGCATTCAGATTACCTTAGTGCATAAGACAGACAGACTGATACTGACACTAACACATATAAAATAGTGTGGAGTAAGCACAGTTCTACTTCTAGGCCCAGGCGTAGTCTTCTAAGGGGTGATGACCGAGCCTGATTTAAGCAATACTAAGCTGTTGGGAGGGAGGGAATCCAAACCTTCCAGGTGAACAGTATTCATGCAAACCAAGCCACAATGTCTGCCAGTCTCCAAAATCCTCAGGTGAAGGCCCTTCCTGGTCTAGCTATCAGAAATCCCATAAACCAGATGGTGCATGGGATGGTCCAGATAAGAAGCATGCGCTCTGCCACTGTACTATGGGCCCATGCTTCTTTTGCACAACAGATTCTGAGCAGAAAATCCCATCTGAGCAGAGAGAAACTGAGATAGAAGTAGCAGTAGACTGAAAAACTGAGGTCTACACTCACCCTGGTGGCAGTCAGAGAGTGCAGGAATGTATGTGCAGAGCAGTGTTCCCTCTAAGCTGAGTTACTGTGAGCTAGCTCACAGTTTTTTAGCCTCTGGCTCACACATTTTTGTCTTTGCTCGGGAAGGATGGCTTCAGAGCAAACTAACTTATGCAGTAGCCAAATCGCTCACTCACAACTTTAATGCCAGCAGCTCACAAAGTAGAATTTTTGCTCACAGGACTCCACATCTTAGAGGGAGTATTGGTGCAGAGTACAAGAGGCTGCTCTGGGAGCAGAAATGGCAAGTCATTCATTCATTCATTCATTCATTCATTCATTCATTCATCTACTTCATTTATGCCAGACCTTTCTCCTCTCCTCCATTTTATCCTCACAAGTGCCCAAGGAGGGAGGTTAGCCTGAAAGCGTGTGACTGGCTCAAGATCACCTAGCAAGCCTCCATGGCAAAGCAGACATTCAAACCTGGGTCTCCCAGAACCTGGTCCGACATTCTAACCACTACACCGCACAGGATCTCAAGTAACGTTATGCTGATGGCATATGGATATGTGAAGATACGTTATGCTGGCCAGGTATGGTACAACTGCCCTGACTTGGATAGCCCAGGTGAGCAGGATCTCACCAGATCTTGGAAGCTAGGCAAGGTTGGCCCTGGCTAGTATTTGGATGGCAGACCTCCAAAGGATAACAGGGTCGTGGTGCAGAGGCAGTCCGTGGCAAGCCACCTCTGATATGTCTCTCGCCTTGAAAATCCCACGAGGTGACCATGTCAGCTGCGACTTAATAGCACTTTTCACCACCTCCATGGTGGAACTGTTGATCATGAGAAAAGCGTATAGCAGAAATGAATAATTATCTTCCTTAAAAAAAAAAAAATCTGCATCCGGCGACTCCAATTTAAGCTTTCACCTTTAACTTCAGTGTGGGTCTTGTAAGCTTTTGTTTTTTTGGTTGTGGAGTTTTGAATGCTAGAGCCTGCCCAAGCTCTTTTTGCTGTTAACAATGGAACTGGGAACAATATCCAGTTTTCCAACTGCCCAATTATTCTTGGCTTTTATTCCTCTCCGAACTGATCTGAGCCAGCTGTTTGCCTGTGATTCAACGTGCCATTTAAATAAGTATCCATTTTCCCTTGACTTTTTTTTGACTTGGACGGTTCAAATGAGAGATGCCATTTCCTGCATTCAGAATGCCCCGCTCACAAATCCCCTTAGCGGGAGAGTTAGGCACTCATAACAAATTGATGGCAATTGATTAAGCCGTACCATTCTGACCATCCAGCTAATAGCAGGGATGGTGAAGGGTCCCTGGACGCAGAACTTTTTAAGAAGTAGGGATGCGGTGGGCTTAAGAGCTCCAAAGCCATGTCTCCTTCGTGAGAAAAACACGAATACCAGGTCCAAAACAATAGTCTCTGCCCGTGTTATTGCAGAAGGAAAGGAAGAACATTCTTTGCACATGTTCAGAGGGACTCTTTCCTCTGCCCGGCCTGCACATGTCTAGTCAAAACAAATGCAAGATATGGGAGGAGGCTGAGGTTTGAAACCCAGCAACAAGGCTACAGGACACAACGCCAGGGAACTTCAGCTTCGGGTAATGCTCGAAACCGGCACTGTTCGTTGGTTGAGCTGCGAAGATGACCTGGATACACAAATCTAGGTGGAACAGTCCCGATAAAAGCTGTCTCACTCCATCTTGTATGTCTCTACACAAGAGACAACGAACAGCACATGCAGAGTTGAACACAACCTTGGGAGGTACAGATTCGAGTTCTATCTTTACTGCGGTTTTACTAAGTGGCTCTGGGCTTGCCAGGACCTTCTCCGCCTCAGTTTCCATTTATCAGATGGGAACGGCGGCAGCCTCCTCCGCAGGGCCGCTGCTGGGGAGGGTGATGGAGAGAATGACGGGGAGCACTTTGCCCTGTAATAATGCTTATTATGTTCTTAAAAAAAAATAATAACTTTCAAAGAGGGCTGGAAGATTGTTCCTATCCCCCAGTGAGTTATTCTGTTTCTTTGAATGCGCTGGCACTGACCCCTGGCGCTGAAAGCATGCTTTGCGAGCAAGCCCTGATGAGCGCAGGATCACATTAGGACTTGTCTTGTGACAATGCAAAAAGCAAAGGAAAGGGGCTCCGGAAGACCAGGCTTCCCGGAGAATATCCAGTAGACGGTGCGTGTGGTCAAACGCAACTACTCCGCTTTTTAGTTTTAGAACTGCCCCCATCCCATGCCTTTAATTTTCAGTGATTTTTTTTCCAGCCTCCCTTTCAAAAACGATCACTTGTTTGTTGCTCTCACTCTCCACTGCCCTCGCTTGCCCCTCTCCCACGAGCAAATCTCGCTGGCTATGTTCCATTATAAAGTGATTCATGGTTGGATGAGATCACCTGTGTGAGTAATCCAGGGAGGAGGAGGAAGAAGAGAAGAAGAAGAAGAGATTGGATTTATACCCCGCCCTTCACTTGGAGTCGCAGAGCGGCTTACAAAAACTCCTTTCCCTTCCCCTCCCCACAACAGACACCCTGTGAGGTGGGTGGGGCTGAGAGAACTCTGACACAAATTGCTCTTTCAGGAACAGCTGTGCCAGAGCTTGTGACTGACCCAAGGTCACATCAGCAGGTGCAAGTGGAGGAGTGGGGAATCAAACCCGGTTCTCCCAGATTAGAGTCCGCGCACTTAACCACTCCACCAAACTGGCTCTCGAAGAAGAATTGGGGGGAGGGGTGGTCCTAAAGTAGCAATAGGTAAGGCAAAGAAGGGTACCGAAAACGATAGGAAAAGAGGTGGGTGTTCACAAAAGGTAAAAGTACAAATCTTTCCCACAAAAACCGCTAAAAGTAGATGCGGATTTATAGCACAGCTCCAAAGGTAATCAGGAAGAGCCAGGTGGGGCCTGGAGACCTCTCACAATTACAACTGATCTCCAGATTACAGAGATGATCAGTTCCCCAGAGAAAATGGCTACTTTGCAGGATGGACTTGATAGCATTATGCCCGCTGAGGTACCTTCCTTCCCCAAGCGCCATCCCCGTATCTCCAAGAATTTCCCAACATGGAGTTGGTAACCCTAGTAGGAGCATGAGATTAGAAACTTCAAGTTTCATATCTTGGACTATCCCAAAAGCTCTGTTTATAGAACTCCTTCACTCCTGTTATCAGACAAGCTTTATTCAGAACTG